TTATTGACTTTTCATATGTTGAGTCATAGGTATGCTGTTGAATTTTGCTGGATGATATTTTTTAAGGATTTTTTAATCTATGCTCAGTATGAATATTGACCTGTAATCTTTTCTTTGGCATCCTTGTCTAGTTTTAGAATCAGAGTAGGGGAAGGCGCCATGGCTCATTTGGTTAACCCTCCGCCTGCAGCTCTGGCATCAAATATGGGTGCTGGGTTCTAGTCCTGGTTACTCCTCTTCCAGTCCAGCTCTCTGCCATGGCCCGGGAGGGTAGTGGAGAATAGCACAAGTGCTTGGGCCCTGCACTCCCACAGGAGACCAGGAAGAAACTCCTGGCTCCTGGCTTCAGTTCGGCACAGCGCCGGCAGTAACAGCTGTTTGGGGAGTGAACCAATGGAAGGAAGAAATTTAGCTCTTTCTCTGTCTATAACTACCTGTCAAATTAAAAAAAAAAGAATCAGAGTGATGTTGACCATGTAAACTGAGTTTTGGAGTGCTGTTCCTTCCTCAAATTTTTGGAAGAATTTGGGAAAAATCTGTATCAGTTTTCAAATGGTTGACAGAATTCTACAATGAAATCATCACATCTTGCACTTTTCTTTGACAGTGGAATTTATTAGTGATTCAGTCCCCTTACTTGTGGTTCAGTGGTGTGTGCATTCTTATTCGTCTGAAGACATTTTAAAATCACCATTTCTTTTGTCTTTGACTCACTGATTGTTCAGGGTCAGTTACCTTTATTTCCCTGTTGTGCGTTTTCCAGTATTCCTTCTGTTATTGATTGTGGCCTAGAACTTGTGTACGCAGGGTTGGGCCCTGGAGCACTGGTGCGTAGTGACTGACTCAGCACTAAAATCTTCCGTGCTGGCCCTGGGTCCTGGGTCTGTAAGACCAGACGTGGACATAGGTTACTGGCAACTGTGGTCACAGGTGCTGGGGCAGGCATGGAGCTTGAGCTTGTGCTAACCAGTGTAAGGTCTGTGGTCACAGGTGTGGCCGGCTGCCTGGGCCACGAGGGGTGATCTGCAATCTGGGGAAATGGGGAGAGGCCCGGATCCTGGATCCACAGGGGTCATTTTGGAGGCTGGGCCCATGAGAGTGGGTTTAAACCTTGGGGCTTTGAGGAACTGTGTAGAAGCAGAATGCATATGGGGTGGAGTGTCCTGGAGCCTGAGTGCAGCAGGTTGGAGGAAGGGTTCTACTAGGAGGTCTTCTATCTAGGTTCTCTTGAAGCAGGCACACACCCTTGGTCTCTTGAGCATGGGACCTTGGGTCAGCCTGGAGGTTGGGGTTACAGGGCAGGCCGGGAGGCTGCTCCTGTGGGTGCTGGGCTGATGTCCGGTGTGTGGGTGCTGTTCTGATGTCTGGTTTGTGGGAGCTGGGCTGATGTCTGGTCTGTGGGGCAGGGCTGATGTCTGCTCTGTGGGTGCTGGGCTGATATCTGATCTGTTAATGCTGTGCTGATGTCTGGTTTGTGGGAGCTGGGATGATGTCTGGACCATTGGGTCTGGGCTGATGTCTGCTGTGTGGTCCTAGGCTGATGTCTGGTGTGTGAGTGCTGGGCTGACGTCTGTCTGTGGGTGCTGGGCTGATGCTGAGGTATGTTTGAAGCCTGGACTGTGAGATCTGGTCTGGTGCTTTTTCCCCTCTCTTCATCTATTCTTATTTTTTTGCACTAAATAGGTATTTTATGATTTTAATTTTCATGTTGCCTCTTTCAGTATAAGTAGTGTTTGTTAATGATTGTCTTGCATATTAGCACTAATAACTTTCTAACAATCTAGTTTGGATTAATAACACATAATATTACGTAAAATATATAAAATATATAATAACAAACAAAAACATGGTTCCTGTACAACTCATATTCCTTCTCCTACTTGGTGCTGTCATTTTGATTGACATTGCATCTTTATAAATTATAAGCCCGTTTAGCACATCTTTATGATTGTCGTTTGTTCTTTATAATTGATATGGTAGTCTGGTTTTCCCAGGAAGCAGAGGCAGTGGGACGCGGGGACCTCTGAGATATGTGCTGGGGAACTAGAGGAGACTCTGACTAGGAGGCACTGACTGTAGACTCAAGTCTGAAGGACTCCAGGAAGAATCCCCCCTTCCGACCGACACTGCAGTCCGCAGCCTCCTAAGGGCTGACCTGACTGTGTAGGGCTCCCGTGGATTCCGAGGGGCCGTCCCCGATGAAGGCAGGAGAGGGACACACAGCAAGGACTGGGGGACACTGGCTCAGTGAGTGAATGAGTGAAGCAAGCCGTGCTCCTTTCCTGGTGGGTGGAGGTCTGGGGTCCCTGTACAGGCCCTGCCCAGAGGCACAGAGCACGTCTGCCTGTCCTGCTGAGCCCCCTGACCTGGGACAGACTGTGGCTCTCGACCTGCTTCACTGCTCCTCAGTGATGCTGACGGCCTGGTGGCCAGGCTGCAGGAGCAGCCACATGCGAGGTGCTTCCCAGACCCTGTGCCCTGCCAGCAGGCAGCCCCTAAGGGGCCCCACTTCAGGGAGAGGATCCCATCAGCCCCATCTCAGGGAGGTCTTCTGACAACCCACCAGGCAGGTCTGCATCTTTCTTGTTCCCTGGATGGGAACTGAGGCCCAGAGCTTATCTGCGGTCATAGCTACAAAGCGATTAGTAAGACAAGGACCCTCGTCTCTGACTTCCAGCCTGGGCTCTGTCCTACTTGACTTCCCCCAGAGAGGCCTCTCCAGAGTCAGGGGTCCCAGCGTGCTCTGACCTTCAGAGAACTGGGGTCAGAGCCTGCCCCTCATGCTGAGTGAAGTGTGGCAGCCGGGGAAGGGCCAGTGCAGGCCTGGCTGTCCTGGTAGCAAGACCAGCTCCTGTGTGTGCAGGACGAGGTTTCTCTCTGGGACCAAAGATTCTCAGCACCGCAGGGTGCAGAGCTCCCTCGTGGTGTGTCTGGGTGCAGCCTCTTTGTCAGGCCTGTGTGCCAGAATCTGGCAGGCTCTGGGTTAAAAATCCAACTCTGCCACTCTGTGGGACATGGGAGCAGGTTCTGGGAGCCTCAGTTTCCTCCTGAGCACAGCGGGTGGTCAGCCATCATTTGGACACCAGTTTCTCAGACTCCAAACCCCAGTGTTAACGGCTTGGTAGCAGACGGTGCAGGGGGAAGAGGCTGGAGGCTTCGTCCAGTGGATGATCCAGAGGTAGACTTTGTGAGGTCCAGGGTCACCATGGCAGAGGCATTAGGAGCTCATACCCAGGAGAAGGCTCCTCGTAAAAATTGCAGGGGTACAGGATCCCTGTGACCTGGGTGCAAATGTGGTCCTGCCTCTACTCCTGTGTGCCGACCCCTGCCTCGTCAGGCCCCAGCCCATGGGGTGGTCCCACCAAGGACTGCAAACTGCAGGACCAGGAAGTACAGAGCTTTCCTCCCACATCTGAAGGCTGCTCTTGGTATTTACAGAGAGCAGTGTGAAACGGCTCCCATGAGACGACCACCCCCGCCATCCCATCCCCGAGTGCCCAGGAGGAGGCAGTGGGAGACCACAGGGAGGACAGAAGGCCCTGCAGGGACTCAGACACCCCCAGCTGTTGACACTGACCTCACACCTGCAGCCTGCAGCTGCCTTCACCATGAGCCACTGTCTACTCTGTCCCCTCACCGTGCAGGCCGACTCACTCCACCTGCTCTGGTCCTTGGGTGACCCAATGTGCACCCCAGTCGGGGGTTCACTAGCCTGAGCTACCATTGCTCCAACCTGACCCCTTAGTTCTTTGGCAGGAAATGATCCCTGGTTCTGTCTGTGTGTCTGCAGACATGAACCATCCTGAGTGCTCCACAGCATGGGCCAGATGTCAGGGTGATCTTTTGGGTGGGCTCCCTGCCCCCTACAATGGCCAAATGGAGCTGCCCTGTGTCCCCAAGACAGGTGCACCCTCCCAGACCTCGGGCACAGGTGGCAGAGCCTGGGGACCTGGCGGGGGGTGGGTGGGAAGAGATCCCTGGTTTTTCCCAGAGATAGTCCTGTGTGGGTGGGGACGCCATGGTGTGGCCCAGGAACTCCCACAAAGCACGCACCTGCCCAATTCCCACTGTCTCCACTGTTTGCTCCATAGGCCACTGCGAAGCCTTGTGAAAAGTTCAGATTCCATGAAGAACCTCTCCACAGCTTTCACCATCTTCAGAAAGACAAAAACCCCTGGCCGTTGACCTCCCTGAGCCTTCAGGCTCTGAACTGTGAGTTTGCATGCAATTTGCTAAGTGCAGCAGGGAGAGGGGAACCACCCCTGAGTTGCTAGACCCATGGTGGGCAGGGGCTCCTCTCAGAGCTGTTTGCACATCTGTAAAGTGTAGGTGTCCACGGCCACTCTCAGGCGAGGGGGGGCCCAATGCTCGGCCAGGTGTCAGGCACAGAGCAGCAGTCCATGCAGGGAGTCGTCCCCCCAGTCAGGGACACTGCACAGACTCCCATTTGCAGCCACAGTGCGTCTCGGCCTGGATCCTGTGCGGTCTGTCAGTGGGGGTGGTTCCTGGCCTGGCCTGGTGTCTCTCCTGTGCTGTGGACACCACTGCCTGCACCATCCAGGCCAAACACTCCTGGGCTCCTCCTGTCACAGCCCCATCCGTGGGCACGGGGATATGGGCTGTCAGAGCTCAGATCACAGTGACAGATGGTGACGTGGTTCCCCAGACGACGAGGCTTACCCCGGCTGGGAGAAAGGCCGCCCTGTCCATGCGGAACCTGTGTGAGTCCTCACCCAGGAGCCAGGAGCTGAGGAGCTGGGAGCTCGTGGAGTGCGCAGGGAGCCTCAGTGAATCTCGTTCTACCTGGCTGCATGGGGCCCTGTGGGGAGGGCTGTGAGCCCATGTCACAGATGAGAACACTGAGGCTCCAGTGAGGACACCAGCCACTCTGCCTACCCTCAGAACCCGTGTCCCTAGCCATGAGGGAGCACTGACCCAGCCCATGGTCGCGCCCATGGTTCCCCTGGATTTCTCACTCTCTGGGCAGTCAGTGAACCCTGGACACACAGGGGCTTCCTCCTCCCTGCCCCAGGACAGCGGCGGGTGCCCCCCAGGTCCCCGTGTGCTCAGCGTGGGGCTCCCTTGTGCAGCAGGGAGAAGGTGGCTGCACAGCACAGGTGGGGACTCAATGCACTGGCATCCACACAGGAGCATGAAGAGAGCTATATTGGACTACATACAGAGGGGGACTTAAATAAACTGTCTGAGAGAGCAGGAGAGGGAGCTATAAGTAAACTGATGGTGAGGGGAACAATGGCTCTGACTGGAGGTGGCCCTGGGAGGACCCAGGAGCTGAGCTGTGCAGAGCCAGGTTTCCTGCCACCACAGATGTTTCACTCGTGGCTGGGGCCAGAGCGGGGCCCCGATGAGCGGATGGGGAAACAGCTTAGAAGGGTGCGCACCCAGCTGGGTGAACGACGGTGGGGACGGTCCTGATTGGAGATTGTGCGCTGCCCACGCCGGCGGCCCCAGGGCCAGCGCCGCTTCGTGAACCAGGGCTGGGGATGCTCTGGCTCTGGTTTGGCTTCTGGAGATGCAGGGGGCTCCAGGGCCTCCACAGCTGGCACAGTTGCCAGGGACAGACAGGCTTCAGGTGGCTCTGGCTGGGGAGCAGATGCCGGGGTTGCCACCAAATCTGACCCCAGAAGTGCAGCAGCCGCTGGGAGAGGCGCCTCCAGGTCTCCTCCTGGTGCTGGAGCTACAGGAGGAGAACATGTCATGAACACCACTGCCCCTTCCTGCTGTCCTTGCCAAGAGGGAGATGTCCCTGGCTTCCAGAAGAGCCCCAGCCCTGTGCCCACAGCAGAGCCCTGGGCGGAACGTGCTGCAGCCCTGGGACTCTGAGCCTGGTCTTCACTCCAGCCAACACCAGCCTTGGAGCCTCCTCCCAGTGTGGGGCAGCCCCGAGACCCTCTCAGGCTCCCACGCACACACCCCAGTCGTCCTCACCCTCGGGCTCCGCTTCAGCCTCAGCCTCCTGGGGCTCTGGATCCTCCAGCTGCATCAGGAGCAGCTGGGCTCGGCATGCCAGGTCTGAGCTGGGCATCTGGAGCTGGACGTAGGCCAGCAGCTGATTCAGGCTGGCCAGGTCCTGAGGCTGACAGAAGTGCTCCGGGTAGCGGTCCCGCCAGGTACCGAGGAAGGAGCAGAGGGCACTAGGGGTAGCAGGAGGTCAGCAGAGTCAGACACCTTCTGCCCACAGCCTCCCTCACCCCTGTGACTCTGGGTTCTGGGCTGAGGATACACGGCCTTGTTTGCAGGTGGGCATTGAGTGGTGGCGCATGTGTGAGCCGGCTGCTGCCTGCCTCCAGGCAGGCCCCTGAAATGGGAAGGGGTGGGCCAGCCTGGCTTGAGTTGTGCTGTGGATGAATTCTCACCGTTCCCCAGATGCCCAGGAACCCAGACAATTCTGTTCCCTGCTGTAGGCAACGTCATGGACCTCAGCCCTATAGCATTAATTACAGAAATGTAGGAGATGGGATCACGGTCAGTCCCCTAGTGGCAGGCACCCCCGTGTCCCTGCTGGGGAGAATGGAACCTCCCTCCTGACCCAAAGCCCACTCACTCCTTAGTGCGGTCGTCCTCTTCGCAGTGAGGCTGAAAGGATGCATACCTAGAGGAGGACAGGAGGTGTCACCTGTGGTGTCCTGGGTGCCACCTGCCAGGAGGTCTGGGGGAGGGGCTGACTTCCTGACTACAGGGGAAGCAAAGCAGGGTAGAGACAGTGGTCTGTGTTGTGCACTGAATTTTATTAAGCTCCTGGACATGTGGCTGCACACAGTGGGCACTTCATAGTGTTTGCAGTGTGAGCTTGTGAAGTCAGCCTGCTTGTCCCCAGGGTCTACGTGGGCCTGGGCCCCTTTATCACCCTCTGGTGTCTCAGTTTGGGTCACTACCAGGACAGAGAACCACACATAGGATCTGGAAGGTTCTTTGTGAATAGGAAGGCTGCTTTGCCTGAGGCCATGGGTGGTGAGGCCTGAGGGCGCAGAGCCTCATTGGTGGGTGAACATAATGCTAAATGAGACCCCTGTCCTTGGCAGCCCACTCCTCAGGGAAGCACTTTCTGGAGCTCATCCCATTGGTCCCGAAATCACCAAGGGGCTTTTCCTCTGAGCACCAAAACTCTGTGTGAATAATTTATACCACAGGCAGGGTCTGGGACATCACCAAGACCCAGTCGAGAGGTACTGAGTCATCCCATTCTTGTAGGTTCCGGCCCTCACCTTTGGAACAGCAGGTGCAGCACCTGTTGGGTGGTGGTGAACCTTTGATAGATGTTCAGGAATGTGGGGACGAAGAAGGGGTCCCCTCTCTGCTGGGCAGGCACCAGCTGATTCACCAGCTTCTCCACCATGCCTGTGTCCAGGGTCCCGACCCTGCTGGCAGCCGACAAGGAGGGCACCGTTCCCACGTCTTGTTCCTGGTGGGGTCCTGCCCTTGGTTCAGCTGCTGGACCCTCAGGGGCCTCCAGCGCCTCTGCAGCTGAAAGATGGACTGCCCGGGGCAGCGGTGGTTCAGCCGACTCTGGTTGGGGTGCTGCTGCTGTGGTTGGCGCTATATCTAAGCACAGAAATGCAGGAGCAAATGCAGAGGGGAAAATATCAACACCACAGCCTTTCCTGCTCCTTGTGGTCAACCAGGAGTTTCCCTGCCTTCCAGGGAAGCCCCAGCCCTGCCCACAACAGGACCCTGCCCAGATGTGGTGAGCCCTGAGGGCTCTGAGCCTGGTCTTTGCTCCCAGACAACGCCAGGCTTGGAGCCTCGTCCCAGTGTAGCTCTGCCCCAGTGCCCTCCCAATCACCCACGTACCCAAGCCCTCCTCACCTTTGGGCTCAGCCTCAGCCTCCTTGGGCTCGGGGTCCTCCAGCTGGGTCAGGAGCCGTTGGGCACGGAGTGCCAGGTCCGAGAAGGGCATATGGAGCTGGACGTAGGCCAGCAGCTGATGCAGACAGGTCAGGTCCTGAGGCTGACAGAAGTGCTCGGGATAACGGTCCAGCCAGGTTCCCAGGAGGGAGCACAGGGCACTGGGGACAGGCAGGCGGGCAGCAGAGTCAGACGTCTCCTGTCCACACCCACCCTCGCCCCTGTGACTCTGAGATCTGGGCAGAGGATGCTCAGCCCTTGTGCAGGTGGACAGAGAGGGGTCATGTGTAGCCCGATGCTCCCACCTCCTCTCGGGTTCTTGAGATGGGAAGGATTGGGCCAGCCCTTCTGAGAAGGGTTGTGGTAGGGACAGATTCCCACTGCTCTCAGGATGCCTAGGAACCTCGTGTGTCTCTCAGGTTCTTCAGGTAACACCCCTGACCTCAGACTTCAAGTGGAAAACACAGGAAGGGTGCAATCCTGGGTCAAGGTCAGTCCCCCAGTTGCACCCCATGTCCCTGCTGTGGATATTAGAAACCTCCCTCCTGACCCAAAGCCCACTCACTCCTTAGTGCGGTCGTCCTCTTCGCAGTGAGGCTGAAAGGATGCATACCTAGAGGAGGACAGGAGGTGTCACCTGTGGTGTCCTGGGTGCCACCTGCCAGGAGGACTGGGGGAGGGGCTGACACCCTGACTACAGGGGAAGCAAAGCAGGGCAGATAGGGTGGTCTGTGCTGTGGGCTGTCTCTTGCTAAGTTCCTGGGTATGTGCCTGCACACAGTGGGTGCTTTCTTATGTTTGCTCTGTGGGTGAATTGAGCTCCTTCTACGGTGTCTAGAGGTCTGAGTCCCCTCTACCAGCCCCTAGGGGTCCTATTCAGGCCATGATCAGGACAGGGACCCCCAGAGGGATCTGGACGGTTCTTTGTGAACAGCAAAGCAGCTTTGCCTACGGCTATGAGAGATGAAGCCTTAGGTCCAAGGCTGTTTCATGAGCCATGGGAGGAAATCTCTAAATCAGACCTGCTGGGCAGCCTATTATCACCCTCAGAGACACTCCCCTGATCACCAAGATGGTGCAAGAACACACTGAGGCCCTGAAGGGGAGCAGGGTGTCACCAAGTTCCAGCCAAGGGTGGCGCGTCCCCCCTGCGCCTGCAGGTGCAAGCCCTCACCTTTGGAACAGCAGATGCAGCACCTGCTGGGTGGTGGTGAACTTGTGATAGATGAGCAGGAATGCAGGGACGATGAAGCGGTCCCCTCTCTGCTGGGCAGGCACCAGCTGACTCACCAGCTTCTCCACCTTGCCTGCCTCCTGGGTCCCCACGCTGCTGGCAGGTGACGGGGATGGCACAGGTTCCACTGTTGCTGGTTCCTCAGGTTCCAGGATTGGTCCTGGCCCCATCTTAGCTGCTGCCATCTCGGCTGGGGCCGGCTCCACTGGAGCTGAATCAGCTGCTCTTGGCGAGGGCTCCCCCTCCAGCCTGCCTGCCACCATGGTCCCCACTCTGCTGGTGTCCTCCAGGGGTGTGGCAATGTCACTGTCATTCTGGGGTGAGACAAGGAGGGTGGTTGTAATCCTGGCCCTGATGTTCTGCCCCCACCCTCCTGCGGTTGTCATGGGACCACCAGGTCCCCATCCCACCCCCCGTCCCTTCCCATGGGCCACTACCTCCCCAAACTACCCCCTCCACACCACCCAAGATGGATGCAGGGCCACCCAGGAGGATCAGAGGGGAGGTCTGCCCAGGGGTCCTGGCCTGGCTGTCTGAGATCACCTTGGTTTCCCTCTGAGAGAATTGCCAGAGCTGCTGTGGGCGAGGGCTGACCCAATGTCTGTAGCTCTGGAGAATATCCGCAGCCTGGGGCTGGCCCTGCCCTGGGCCTTGGGATGTTGGGAGACAACACGAGAACATGTCTGCTCGATGGCCTCTGACCAACTGAACTGGCTGGGTCACCAGCACCACATTGTGGGTGCCTGGTAACCGGGGTTCCAGGTTCTGTTGTGGCCATCGTCAAGGAAGTGAGGTCACTTCTTGAAGTCCACTTAGCTGACCTCCCCTAAGGTTCTGTGGGCTGCTGACTGCCACCCTCCCTCCCCGTCCCCCGTCCCTCCTTCCCGGGACAGATGCCGTGTGCACACCTGCACACGGTTATGCCAGTATCACCCATCAGCTCCCTGAGGGAGGCCTGGGCCAGCCAGAGCCCACCACTGGGAAGTCATAGACCTGTTGCAAAGTACAGGGTTTTTTTTTAAAGCTGAGTAGTATTCCACAGTGTAAATACACCAGAATTTCTTTGTCCAGTTAGCAGTTGATGGACATCTGGGTTGAGTCTATATCTTAGCCATTGTGCATTGAGCCGCAGTGAACATTGGAGTGCAGATAACTCTTTCATGTTCTGAATTCCTTTTCCTTTGGATAAACTCCCAGGAGTGGGATGGCTGGGCCATATGGTAGGTATATATTCAGATTTCTGAGGTATGTGTCTTCAACAGTGGCTGCACCAAGTTACATTTTCGCAAATAATGGATTAGGGTACCCTTTCAGCCACATCCTTGCCAGCATTTTTGTTGGTTGATTTCTGTATGAAAGCTATTCTAACTGGGATGAGGTGAAACCCAATGATGGGTTTGATTTGCAGTTGCCTATGGCTAGTGATCCTAAGCATTTTGTATGTGTCTGTTGGCCATTTGCTGTCCGTCTCTTGAAAAATGTCTGTTCAGATTTTTGCCCATTTCGTAAGTGAATTGTTTTGTTGTTTCTGAGTTTCTTGAGTTCTCTAGCCATTCTAGAAATTAATCTTTTATCAGTTGCATAGTTTGCAAACCATTTCTCCCACTCTATAGGTTGCCTCTTCACTTTGCTGAGCATCTTTTTGCAGTGCAGAAGCTTCTCAATTTGGTATAATCCCATTTGTTAATTTTGGCTTTGCTTGCCTGTGTCTCTGGGTCTTTTTCAAGCACTCTTTTGACTATATCAATGTGCTGCAGGGTTTCCCCAATATTTCTAGTAATCTGAAGGTACTGGGTCATAGTTTTAGGTCTTTGATCCACTTTGAGTGGATTTTGTGTAAGGTGTAAAGAAGGGGTCTTGCTTCCTACTTCTGCATGTGGAGATCCAGTATTCCCAGCACCACTTTTTGAAGAGATTGTGTTTGCTTCCTTCAGGGATTGATTTTAGCTCCTTTTTCAAAGATCCGTTGGTTATAGATGCATGGATTGATTTCTGGAGTTTCTTTTCTGTTTCATTGGTCTGCACATCTGATTTTGTGCCATTACAGGGTGTTTTGATAATTATTGCCCTGTGGTATGTCTTGAGCACTGGTATTATGGTGCCTCCAGCTTTGTTTGTGTTGTTTCAGATTGCTTTAGCTCTTTGGAGTCTCTTGTGCTTCCATATGAATTTGTGCATCATTTTTTTCTAGATCTGAGAAGAATGTTGTTGCTGTTTTGTTTGGAATTGCATTTAGTCTACACTTCACTTTTGAAAAAAGATTTATATATTTATTTGAAAGGCAGAGACAGAAAGAGAGAGAGAGAGATGGAGAGAGAGAGAGAGAGAGATCGTCCATCTGCTGGTTCGCTCCCCAGATGGCTGCAATGGCTGGAGTAGGGCTGAAGGAAAACCAGGATCCAGGAGCTTCTTCCAGATCTCCCATGTGAGTGCAGGGACCCAAGGATTTAGGCCATCTTGTATTGCTTTCCCAGGCCATATCAGAGAGCTGGATCGCAAGTAGAGCAGCTGGGCCTTGAACTGGCATCAGTATGGGATGCAAGCACTGCAGGCAGTGACTTTACCTGCTACCCCACATCGCCTGCCCCTCTTTCAGTCGAATGGACATTTTGATGTTATTTATTCTTCTAATTCATGAATATGAAAGATTTCCCACTTTTTAATGCCTTCTTCTATTTCTTTCTTTTATGTTTTGTAATTTTCATCGTAAAGTTCTTTGATGTCCTTGTTTAATTTATTCTATGGTATTTAGCTTTTTTTTTTTTTGTAGCTAATGTGAGTAGGATTGATCTTAGAAGTTCTGTCTCAGCAATGGTATCGTTTGTGTATACAAAGGATATTGGTTTTTCTAACGATTTACTTATTTATTTGAAAGGCAGTTACTGAGAGAGAGAGAGAGAGAGAGAGAGAGAGAGAGAGAGAGAGACAGGTATTCCATCCAATGGTTCACTCCCTAGATGGTCACAATGGCCGGAGGTGTACCGATCTGAAGACAAGAGCCAGGAACTTCTTTCTGTTCTTGACATGTGGGTGCCTGGGCCCAAGGACTTGGGCCACCTTCCACTGCTTTCCCAGGCACATTGGCAGGGAGCTGCACTGGAAGTGGAGCCCTAGGGATCGAGCCAGAGCCCATATGGGATGCCGGCATTGCAGGTGTCAGCTTTGACAGCTAGACCAAAATGGTAGCACCTGCCATATTTTCTTTAAGCATTGATCCATCAAAGGATGCCTAGGTTGTTTCCGTTTCTTGGCTGTTGTGATACTGCTGCTACATCAGAGTGCAGATACCTCCTTGGCATAATGTTCTAATTTGCTTGGATGTTGTCTTAGGCCATTTTGTATTGCTGTAACAAAATCCCCCCAGACTGCACTGTCTAAAGAAAAGGGAGTTATTTTGGCTCAAGTGGTGGAAGGTGGAAAGTCTGAGATCCCTTGTCCCCTCTGGTGAGGACCACATGCTGCATCAGTTCATGGTGGAGAAGCAGAAAGAAGAAACAGCTGCAGAAGAAGAGGAGTACATGTGTAAGGGAGGCGGGAACAACAGGACCAGCCCTGTCTTTTGGAAAGGAATCCTGCCAGGGTGAGAACTGGCTCCCAGGAGAGCACTGATCTACTACTCATGAGGCCTCCAGCGCCGGAATCTGAACACCTTGCATTGGGCTCCACCTATTACTAATACTGCCTCATGGAGAGATTCAGCCTCTGCCTGGTTTTGGTTAGGACAAACCATACTCACACCACAGCAGACAGACTTCAGTAGGAGGGTTCCTGGGTCGTACGGTAGATCTACTTTAAATTTTTTGAGGACCGTCCATACTGCTTTCCATAATCATTATACGAATTTGCATTCCCACCAACAGGGAGGGAGTGTTCCCTTCTCTCTACATCCTCACCAGTACTTGTTCCTTTTTGTCTTGGTTTGCAAACTGGCCGTTCTAACATGAGTGTGGCACTATTTCATTGTGTGTGTATGTGTGTTTTCAAGATTTATTTATTTATTTGAATGAGTTACACAGATGGAGAGGGAGAGGGAGAGGGAGAGGGGAAAGAGGGAGCGGGAGAGGGAGAGGGAGGGGGAAAGAGGGAAAGAGGGAAAGAAGGAAAGAAGGAAAGAGGGAAAGAGAGAGGTCTTCCATCCACTGATTCACTCCCCAGTTAGTTGCAATGGCTGGAGCTGCGCTGATCCCAAGGCAGGAGCCAGGAGCTTCTTCTGGGTCTCCCACAGGGGTGCAGGGGTCCTAGGACCTGGGCCATCTTGTACTGCTCTTTAGGCCATAGCAGAGAACTGCATGGGAAGTGGAGCAGCCGGGACTCAAAGTGGCACCCATAAGGGATGCCGGCACTTCAGGTGACAGCTTTACCCTCTACACCAGAGACACAGGCCCCTCACTGTGGTTTTAATTTGCATTATGATGAGAAGTGATGTTGGGCATTTGTTCACATATCTCTTGACCATATGCATGTCTTTTTTGTTTGTTTGTTTGTTTGTTTGGAGAAATGTCTATTCAGGTCCTTTGTCTAGTTTTTAACCAGGTTAATTGGTTTTTGCTATTGAATTGGTTTCAGGTCCTTATATATTGTGGATATTTACTCTTATTTGAGAGATGATTTACACATATTTTTCCCAATCCATTTATTGTTTGTTCCATGTGTTGACTGTTTTCTTAGCTATTTTATATTATTTTTAGCTTGAGGTAAATCCCACTTTTCTTTTCATATTTTTCTTCCTGTGCTTTTGGGGCCATATTAAAAACTCATTGCCCTGATCAATGAATGTCATGAACCCTTCTTCTAGTAGTTTTATATTTCCAGGTGTGTTAAATTGAATTTTTTAAATGGTTCATTCTCTTGATGTAGTTTTACTGATCCAACGACAGGAGGCAGGAACTTCTTTCCAGTCTGCCATTTGGGTAAATGTGCCCCAGGACTTGGGCCACCTTTACTGCTTTTCCAGGCTACAGCAGAGAGCTGGATCAGACGTGGAGCAGCCGGGACTTGAACCGGCGCCCATATTGGATGCTGGCACTGCAGGCAGCAGCTTCATCTGCTACTCCACCATTCTGTCCCAGGTCATTAATTTTTTTTATAAGAAGATTTACTTATTTATTTGAAAGTCAGAGTTGCACAGAGCGTGAAGGAGAGGCAGAGAGAGAAAGAGATCTTCCATGCACTGGTTCACTCCCTAGATGGTCGCAATGGCCGGAACTGTGGTGATCCACGCCAGAAACTAGGAGCTTCTTCTAGGTCTCCCACGTGAGTGAAGGGGCCCAAGGACTTGTGCCATCTTCCACTGCTTTCCCAGGCCACAGCAGAGAGCTGGATAAGAAGTAGTGCAGCTGGGACTCAAAGCAGTACCCATATGGGATGCTGGCACTGCAGGTGTCAGTTTTACCTGCTACACCTCAGTGCTGGCCCTGGCTATTGATTTTTTTTTGACAGGCAGAGTGGACAGTGAGAGATACAGAGAGAAAGGTCTTCCTTTTCCTTTTGTTCACCCCCCAGTGGCTGCTGTGGCCAGCACACCACACTGATCTGAAGCCAGGAGCCAGGTGCTTCTCCTGGTCTCACAAGCAGGTTGCAGGCCCAAGCACTTGTACCATCCTCCACTGCACTCCCAGGCCACAGCAGAGACCTGGACTGGAAGAGGAGTAACCGGGACAGAATCCGGCGCCCCGACTGGGACTAGAACCTGGGGTCCCATAATTTTTGATATGCTGTGTTGACATCTTCATTTGTTTCCAGAATTTTTTTGATTTCTCTTTTGATTTTTTTCCATTACTTACTGTTTATTCAGGAGCATGTTGTTCAGTCTCAATGTGTTTGCATATGATCTCGAGATTCCTGATTTCCAGCTTTATTCCGTTGTGGTCAGAGAAGATGCATGGTATGATTTTGATTATTTTGAATTTTCTGGGGACTTTCTTTATAGCCTAGCATGTGGTTTATCTTAGAGAAAGTTCCATGCATTGATGAGAAGAATGTGTAGGTTGCAACTGTGGGGTGAAAAGTTCTGTAGATACCTGTTAGGTCCATTTGGTATATAGTTTTGATTAGCCCTGATGTTTGTTTTTTTCTTTCTGTTTGAATTATCCATTGATGAAAGTGGGGTGTTGAATTCTCCCATTATTATTTTATTGGAATTTTTGTCTCTCTTTAGGTCTGTTAACATTTCTTTTAAATAGCCAAATGCCCTGTAATTGTGTGCATATACATTTATTATAGTCATCTCTTCCTGTTGAATTGATCCCTTAACCATTCTATAGTGCCGTTCCCAGTCTCCTTTAACAGTTTTTGTGTTAAAGTATATTTTGTCTGATTTTAGGATAGCTATGCCAGCTCTTTTGT